AAAAGAGGAACATAGTATGTACTCACTCATCTATGGATTTTAGACATAGAACAAAGGATCACCAGCCTATAATTCACACCACCAGAGAAACTAAGGTACAAGGAGCATTCTGAAAGATCCTTATAAGGTTCCTCACAGAAGGGAAAAGCAAAAGATCTCCAGAACACATGGGGAATGGGAGGGAAGTGAGTGTAGAGGGAACTAGGTGACAGAGAAGGGGAAGAAAGGAATGCTCATGGGCCTAGGAAGATCGAGTCATGGGACAAAAGGACAAGAGGAGAGAGTGAAAGAAAGAAAGAAAGAAAGAAAGAAAGAAAGAAAGAAAGAAAGAAAGAAAGAAAGAGTCAGAGACCATAAAAGAGGAAAGAGGGAGCCATTATAGATTTGAAGAGAAAACTGAACCTAGAGAAACGTGCAGAGACCTACAAGACTGACCCCGACTGACAATTTGAGCAACAGTAGAAAGGCTACCATAAGTGTCCTTCCCTGATAATGAGATCAACGACTAACTTATCCACCATCATGGAGCCCTCATCTAATAGCTGTTGGAAACCCAAGCAAACACCCACAACTAAACACTGAGCTGAACTAGAATCCAGTTGCAAAGAGGGAGGACAAGGCCAGGCTGCAGAACACATGGAGACAGCTGATCTGAACAAGGAGGAGCTTATGGGCCCTCAGACTGATAGCTGGGAATCCGGCATGGGCCTGATTAAAACCTCCTGAACATGGGTCTCAGGTAGAATGCCTGAGCATTCTAAGGGACCTCAGTCAGTGGAAGCAGGATGTATTCCTGGTGCACAAAAGGATTTTGGGTGCACATCCCCCATGGAAGGATGCCTCATTAACCTAGGGACAGTCCTAGTCCCCACTCCAAATTACTTGACAGATTTAGATTACTCCTCCTGAGGGCATCACCCTACACATGGAGTGGGGTGGGGTGGGAGGGGAGTGTGGTTGGGGGGGCATTAGAGTATGGGAGGAGGGAACGAGAGAAGGAGGGAGGGAGAAATAAATATTTAAAAAAAGCAAAAAAGAAAAGAAACAAAACAAAAAATATGTAAGACTCTGTCTTGGAGCCCAAAGATGTTTGTATACATGTACTCAATCCTATGTGGATTTCCAGTTACTTGTCATTAAACTTCCTTAATAGAGCAAAACTTACTATGTGATCTTATTTTTTTTATGTTAGTATTAGTGTCAAGAATTTTTAAAATTGAAATTATTGAGTTTTTTTACCAGTTCAAGTAGTAGTATATGTTGATTTTTAAAGGCAGAATTATAGTTCAGAAAATTTCATAATTCTATGTTATTTTGGGTGTACTTTACATTATGAAAGGCCAAATATTTGAACTGTCATTTGGGAGTCAAAAAGTAAACAAGTTATTATGAATGAGAATACTAAAAGTAGTTGCTCAAAGGGAAATGTAATTACTTTTTTAGTAGATGATTTCTTTTGAAGTTCCTGCCTTAATACTCTTGACACATTTAAATCTAAAAGGAGATTGTAAAATACGATGTTAAATTTGACCGATTTTCTAAAGCAGAAGATGGATTACATAGAAAAGTATAGACATTCAGGCTTTCAGGTAAAATCTCTTAGGCAAAATTCAGTCCTTCATTTGCAAAGATACATTTGAATTATGGACTTAGCTTTCATTAAACCCACAGAGATAGCTGATAGTTCTGTTTATATTAGTTACCTATAGAGTTCTTGCCTGAAATTAAAAGGTAAGCATAAGGCATGGTCTTGATTGTGTGGTTCTTTTTTCTCTTGGGTTAGCCAATCTATTAGGAAGGGCAGAAAGCGCTCCTGAGATTCTCTATAGTTTTCTCTGTTTTAACAAATAAACATCAATTTATCATTTATCTTGTGTCTAGTGTAATCATTATACCCTTGCCTTCAGTTACCTTTTCTTCCCACTCATTCTTATTGAAGAACTGGATGACTGAACTGAAGTTTGCCCACCGCTTGGATCTCAGACATTATTCATTCACTCTGCAGTTCATGACTCTCCTCTCTCCTGTTTTGTTCCTGGAAGCTGATGAATAGGTTTAGAGAATTACTCTGAATTAAATTCTGTTTCTTTAGCAAACTCTAGGCAGCATTGGCAAGGTTATAGAAATATTTTGATGCTGAAATATCTTCAAATGTAACAGCTAAAATAGCTTAGTACCTTTAGGAAACAATATGCTAGCAATTTAAAAAAGAAAAGAACAAGTTGAAATTTAAAACTAAAAATATGTTAAAAACAAAATATTTCTAGTACTATTTTTCCATTTCTATTTGTATTTAAAGACTCTTTCATGAGAACATTTCCTTTTGACTGTTATATTTTCAACTATGATAGAGTGAGCTACTGGAGAATGCCCAGTAATTTCCCTGAGTATTAACCACTTTTCATGACAATAAATTTATTACATAATCCATAATTAGACAATTCTCTTTTGTCATCATATTATATTCAGTGATGTAGATGTTTTATCTCTTTGATCAATCATTTTGGTTAATGAAAGATTCACAATTGATTTAAGTAATTTTAAATTGGTGTTATTAGTTTTTGATTATATGCATGCTTTTCAATGTTAAAAGATTTGGAGACTCAATATCCATGTTTCTTTTGCTAATTCCTATTATTTTCAAAAATTATTTACATTACTTACCTCTTCATTTTGCTTCTCCATAAACCACACACACACACACACAGAGAGAGAGAGAATATATATATGAATTCAACCTCACAGTCTGTAATGTTACTTATAGGTACACATTTTTCAATCAAATATTTAAAACAAATATACAAAATAAATTTGAAAAGCACCTTCAAGAGAAAAATATGACAAATGGTGTATAAATTATTATACAAAATGCAAAAAGTACAAATATGTAATTTCTTTCATAGTTCTAAAGAAGGAAAAAGATTGTCAAGATTGTCTTTCTGTAGTCTATTCCAGAAACTACTACTTCCCTAAATGAACTTAAGGAAAAGACACATCATATGTTCTTACAAATCTTATATATATACATATATGTGTGTTTGTATAATGATAAAAGAATAAATTTTACATATTGTTGAAAGAAAATTATGCATATGTGGTAATGCACATGTGAAATAGCTCAATTTAGCCATACCACAATGCAGACATACAAAGAGCTTCAGAAATTCTGAATCTGAGAAAATTTGATATCAGTAGACATTATACAAGGAAACCAGTCAAGAAAGGCCTTTAGGAGGTGATACTAGATGGAGATTCTTATCTACATGAAGGAGTGAATAAAGCAGGAAAATGAACTGTGGGCAAATAAAAAAAAATGGCTGTTCTTTATCTTTTCTACCAATCATATAGAATACATCTAACAGTATATAAAAGAGAGCAGACTAGGTAGAGTTATCAGTCAGTACCTTCGTTTTCTTCCTCACCAGCTCTGCTTTTGAAGTAATGCACTTGCCTCCATAATTACACAACTTCCTTTCTCAAAGTTATACCAGATGGTAGAGAGCTAATCTTGCACTCATTTCATATCTATCACATGTGTACTTACACACACATGCACACACTAACAGAGAAAGATATTCAAGTTATATCTAACTTCTCTTGATGTAGTACATTAATATGTTTTCCTTACCCAAATACCTGAATTAATTTTTCTCAAGACTTAGCCTCATATAACAATAGTGGACACTCATAGATACCAGAAGAAATCAGGGTGGAAATACAAATATTATAAACATCCACTTGCCATAAAATTATGTTGTATGCAATATATTTAGCAAGAGTTCTATTTACTTTTTATTATCATTTCTTATTTTAAAAACAATATTTGCTCATTTTACATATCAAACCAAAGTCCCACTCCTTTCCCTCCTCCTGATATTCCCTTCATCCCCTCTATCCCCCATCTAAGAGTTTTTAAGCCAATGTGAAGAATTTTAAAAAATGAACTTGAAACAAAAGTCATAGGTTGAAAGTTTTATTTGTAAATGTACACCAAATTTCCATAGTATCAAAAAATAAGTGTTTTGAATTCCAAGCTAGTCTTCTTATTAATATTGTCTTGTTAAATAAAAATTCAAATGAAATTATATTTTTTTGCATTTGTGTATTTTATTTAACATATAATTTATATCAAGTAAAAGCACTTAATCAAAAGTTGTTAGAAAGATTTACATATGCTGTTGATCAAACATTGATAACTACCATCTTTCACTGACCTCCTTAAGGTTTTAAGTCCTACATTCTTTTTATGTAAAACATATGTTCTGGGCTAGATAAATATTTCCCAGACTTTTAGAATCACCAAAGAATAAACAAAAATTGATAAATCAATTTTCTTTTGGAATAAGGGTATAAAATAAACCAACATAAAAATTTTCATTACTAGTTGAGCTATTTCTTTAAGAGGAATATTTTAACTATAACATGGCAAATTCCAAGGAGATAAATACTTTATATTGCAAAAATATAAGAATATAGTACTAAATTTTTTTATGTTACTTCTGTCATTTTTTTCACAGAGTTATCCAAATAATTCTAATTTTTCTCAAGTTACTTTATGGGTTGATGCTTTAAACATATTTTATTATATGAGTTTTATTTTCCCTTTCATTCACAAATGGTGACCTATTGTCTGATATTGATGCAATGTATTAAGCAACTATAATTAATCAACATTACACTGCATTATGTGATCAAATGTAATTTGAGTCAATTTATTAGAACTAAATAAATTTATAGTTTTAAAGAACAAAAATGAGCTGTTAATGCTTGATAACATGCCTTTCAACAAGATATATTCGGTCTTATGGGAAATGACAGCACTGTTCACTTTAGCTGAAGCTTCTCTCTGCAAGCTTAAAAGGGAAGTTGCAATGTGGTAATACTGTTTTTTATCTTGGAGGCCAAAAGTGGTTTTGAGAATGTGTGGTATCATTTCCTTCAACAACACAGTGCAGAACCAATCTTCAGTTCCTCATTTCTATACTTGCAGAGACAGAAACACTACTTACTTTCTTTCCTGGTTTTTTCTTCTTCTGTAACTCTGTGGAAAGGCTCCAGCTAGTGTATTATTCACCATGTGTAACCATGAAAAAGTATTCATCACTGGGAGAGAGGTGGACTAAGTGAACCTGACATCTCTTGATCTTTGGGACAGAATATGGAAATGTTACTGGTTTTCTTTGCTCATTTGAATATGTGTGAGTCTAAAGAGAAAACTTTTTTCAAAGTAATGCATAGGTCAGGAAAAGAAGAAACAAGCATCGAGGCCAAAATCAGGTAAAATTAGAAATGTTTAACTCATCCTGTACTTTAAATGCATGATTGAAGACTATTTGTTAGCTCTGATTTTTTTTAAATACTAGGTTGAAAATATGTTGATTGTAGTGCTGCAAATGGGGGAATCTATTATTTTTTAAATTATTGAGAATAAACATTTAGTCTAATTTAGTTTCGTTTTTAAAAGGCTAACAGTTTTAGCCACATATAAGCATTAAAATAATAACTAATGAAATTTACTCTCAAATACTTGACTGCCAAAGTAAAATAGAATTGTATGTTGTGTACTCTATGGTAAATTCTCTATTTACTATTTAAGTAAAACTCAAGAGTAAAAGAAGCTGCATTTCTGAATGAAGGTGGGTGTTTATCAATTCCAAATTTATTACATAGGTTAAATAAGACTTCTGTGGCATCAGAATTATCCTGGTTGTATTATTGTTTTCACAGAGCTAAAGACAAAAGAAATAGATTAAGTCTTCTCCTACAGAGGCCGGACTTCCATGAAGATACTCCTACCAGCAGATTTGCCCTCTTGGCTAAAGAACCAAGGTGGGGAACATGAATTCCTTGTGAGCATCCTTTTCTGTCTAGGATTCATGATTAAAATAAAAAAATAAGAATAAATATGCTATTTGAAATTACATAGCAACATGAACATAGTTCAACGTTTTATCTCCTGTAACAAAGAATAGTTCTAAGGTTCAACCACTTTCATAACCAAATCAAATAATTACAAGAACTTTTAAAAGTTTTCTCTCATAATTAATAGGTGTGTTCATTTTAAAGTGGGTTATAGCTTTCATTTTGAATTTTTTATTTCATTAGTTTTTAACTTCATTTTAAATTCCAGCAGAAGCTTTCCCCCCCACACCCTCTGACCTCCCCCACCCCAGCCCACCCCTTAGCAGGAGTGGATATGGACCTTCCTCTTTAAAAGATACATGTTATAGCCCATAAATTGAAGAAATGTTACATTGTTTAAATAATGTAAATTTGTCACCACAAAGGGTATTTATCTATTTCCTCAGAAGTTTATAAGAAAATAGCTTATGGATGACAACAAGGAATACACAAAGGAAGTTTTGTAATTTGATTAAGCATTTTCTTAACAAATAAAATTAGTCTTATATATTAGCTTACAACCATTCAAATTTTGAATATGCCTAGTTAAAGATACAAAAAAATTCAATTTATCCTTTATTTGCATCTCCATTCATATGAAATTAGCCTTAAACATCACCAAACTTCATGCATTTAAGAGAGAGAGAGAAGCAAAAAGCAAGCAAACAAATAAAACCCAGCACGTTAAAGTTACACATTCAAGGAAAATATATCTTTTAAAGAAATGACTCAGAAAGATATAGTTTATGCTTTCTTATTTTCTGAAGATGTTTTAAATGTAGTTTATCTGATCTTTCTGTTTCAGTCTCTCTGTCTCTGCCTCTGTCTCTTTCTCTCTTTCTTGTACTTTTGACTGGACATATGCTTATTTTTATGTAAAAACTATGACAATTTTGAGACTTTGGGAAAACCTGCAATATTTCATTGTTCAATGGGGAAAATCCAAAAGAAAACAGACTGATCTTGAAGATTCCACTGTCAGTTTAACTTGTGTTTAGAAAAGTAAAAGGAGAAGGTCTCTGGGGTTTCAGTAGAGAGCACCAGCTGCAGACCTGCAGCAGAGCCATTGCAGAGATTCAGAAGTGAACAAGCTGCTCACTTCATCATCACACCTTTTGTTTCCTGAACAGAGTCTCCCCTGAAGAAGCCGTGAAATGGGCTGAATCATTTGACAAACTGCTTTCTCATAGAGGTTAGTAGTATTTTCACCAAACCCTTATTCTATAATAAAATATTAAGAACAGATACCTGAAATTATGAAAGGCAAATAGTTGTCAGATTTTTATAAATAATTAAGTTAATTTGCATTATCTGAGTTTTATTGAACTGGGCAACTAAGGAAAAGGAGAAGCACCAAAAGGAAATTGTATTTTTAACTCTCTTATTTATTCAGTTATTCATTATTGGTGAAATCTTTATTTCTTTATTCTTTAGTTAACAACAACATTTAAATATTTATATTCTAAATTTCCAGATATTTGAAAAAGAATTATTTTTATTAAAAGTGTATCTAATACATTAAAACACATTATTATATTATTATAATCAAAAATTTGAAGTGGTTTCTGTGATAGACACTATGGAACTCTCATGAAGATAGCATTTTAGGAAAATTCCTATAGATTCATATAGGTAGTTTTATAATATATCAATTTTTAATTATTTATTTTATTTTTAATATGTTAATTACGTTATTTCACCTTCCTTTTCCTCCTTACAAATACTCCCTTTGGGGCCTTCATTGCTGTTTTTTTTTCTGTTGGATATTTTCTTTTTTTTTAAATGTAATTTATTATTTTACATGTCGATCCCAATTCCCTCTCTCTTCCTCCCTCTGTCCCTCCCTCCTTCTTTCCCTTTTACCCTCTCTGCCAACCTCATGTGCACCCTGACCACCCTCCCCTCCCATCACCCCAACCCAATTCCACGTGTAGGGCCATGCCATCCAGGTGGGGTCATGTAGATCTGACAGGTCATGTGAAGTAGGGACTAGGATTTCTCTCCTGTCTCTAAGTTAAGGCAGAATCCCTCCATGGGGGATGTGTTTGCAAGGTCCTTTTGTGCACCAGGGATACATCCTGGTTCCACTGTCTGAGGTCCCTTAGACTGCTCAGTCCTTCTGGCTGAGACCCATATTGAGGGAGGACTGAGTCAGTCCCATGCTGGATTCCCAGCTATTAGTCTGGGGGAGCCCATCAGCTCCTCCTTGTTCAGGTCAGCTGTCTCTATGTGTTTCTGCAACCTGGTCTTGTCCTCTCCATCTGCATTTAGGTTCTAGTTCGACTCAGTGTTTAGGTATGGGTGTTTGCATTTGTTTCCAACAGGTGTTAGATGAGGGCTCCACAGATAAGTTAGTTATTGATCTCTATCCAGGAGGGTAGCCTTTTCATGGTTGCTCAGATTGTTAGTTGGCTGAAGTCTTGTAGACCTCTAGACATTTCTTTGGGTTCAGTTTTCTCTTCAAACCAATATTGGCTCCCTCTTTTATGTATTCTCTCCTCTCTCTCTCTCTCTCTCTCTCTCTCTCTCTCTCTCTCTCTCTCTCTCTCTGTCTGCCTGCCTCTTTCTCTCTCCTGTCTTCTTTTCTGCCCTGACTCCTCAATCTTCCTAGTCACACATGTTTTCCTCTCCTCACCCTCTCTTTCTCCTACTTCTCTCTCCATTCACTGACCCCCCCCCACTTCCCCTGTGCTCTGGGGACTTGTCCCTTTCCCCTTCTGTGAGGGACTTTTTGTGAATCTCTTAGAATATACCTTGTACCCTAGTTCCTCTGGTGGTGTGAATTATAGGCTGGCGATCCTTTGCTCTAGGTCTAAAATCCATATATGAGCAAGTACATACAATGTTACTCTTTTTGTGACAGGGATACCTCATTCAGGATAGTTTCTTCAAGTGCCATCCACTGGCTTGTGAATTTCAAGTTACATTATTTTTATTTTCTGCTGAGTAGTATTCCATTATGTAGATGTGCCACATCTTCTGTATCCATTCTTCAATTGAGGGGCATCTAGTTTGCTTCCAGGTTCTTGCTATTACAAATAGTGCTGCTATGAACATAATTGAACAGATGTCTTTGTTGCATGGATGTGGATCATTTGGGTATATGCCTAAGAGGGGGATTGTCGGGTCCTGTGGTAAACTAATTTCCATTTTCCTGAGGAACTGCCATACTGATCTCCAAAATGGCTGTAGGAGTTTGCACTCCCACCAGCAGTGGAGGAGTGTTACCCTTTTTCCACATCCTTTCCAGCATGAGTTTTCATTGGTGTTTCTAATTTTAGCCATTCTGGCAGGAGTAAGATGGCATCTCAGAGTTGTTTTGATTTGCATTTCCTTGATAGCTAAGGATGTTGAGCACTTTCTTATGTCTTTCAGCCTTTTTGATTTCCTCTATTGAGAATTCTTTCTTCAGTTCTGTACCCCATTTTTAATAGGATTGTTTGGTGTTTTGTTGACTATATCTGACAAAGGGCTGATCTCCAAAATATACAAAGAACTCAAGAAACTAGTCATTGCTCTTTTTCAATTTATGAACTCATTTTTTTCACTAGTTCTTGTCATGTGCATATATATTTTTAAGGCAGAATTTGTAGAGAAGCTAATAATCAGGTGCTTACCAATGCTGAGCATTGTGTACTAGTTGTGGGGAAAGGAAGAATACCAACAGGCTTGATTCTTCAACTGTAAGTTTCATGTATTCAAACTGTTTTTTTCTTTTTTTCTGAACTCAGTTCATTTTTCTCAAGTTTCAGTGTCAACAATTTGCACTTACTATTTAATGGAAAAACAGAGTTTCTTTTCCTTACTTAACTGTTCAACTGTGGAAGTGAAACTTAATCAAAACGACACACATGGGCATTTGCAGCCACAGCTGTTCATTGTCTACTCATTAACATCTTACTTTACTCACTGGAACACCATCACTTCCATTCTCCATCCCCAAACTACTCCAAAAACAGGACAGCAAGCAACTTTACTCTTGAACATGGCAGACCCATTAGGTTTCCTCTCCTCATGTCTGTGCTGGAAGAAATGTTTCTTATGACCAGTAGAGGTCATAAGAAACTTGTAGAGGACAGCAGAAATTCTTTTTCACCACTAGGAACAAGCAATTTCCTTTGAATTTTCACATTTTCTAGCATATGCATAATGCTAAATATTTTCCTTGTTTATTACAAATATTTTAAATTATTTCTTCTGTGCCAAACATGGTGTCACACCCTATAGCTCAGTACTATGAAATTGGGACAGGAGGATCAGATTTCTGACCAGCCTCATTTACACAGTAGGTTTTTAGTCAGTCTTCAACCTATTTCAGGGCAGTATGATACCCTGATTCAAAATATTACAGTATTTTCTTCTAATAATTTGATAAATACATTGTTATTTTTATCAACATCCCACTCTGTGTTTAAAACATACAAGTCCTACTTATCCAACATAAACAAATTTATACTTAATCCCTAACCTCTCTTTATCTTCTATTCCTTGTAGACCTCTTAGTCTCTGTTTATTCTCTAAATTTCTGTTAGTGTGTGTGACAACAAATCAATATTCTATGAGATAATTTGTTTATATGCCACATGAAGCTCCTGTCTATACCTAAATTATTCAACATGACATCATCTCATTTCACACATATTGCCACATATTCAAAGACTACATACCATTTTTGGGATACACAATATTTCATTCTGAAGGCATAGCACACTTTCTTACACATTTCCCTATTGATGCATACCTAAGTTATTTCTGTATATTAAAAATTGTATGTAAGGTTATGTTCACTTTTTTGTTGTCAATATTTTACTTTAGACAAATACAATGCCCTGCATAATTCCAACTTATAAATTATTTATGTTTTAGAATTTTCTTTCAGTTAACATTTTGTACATCTACTCTTCAATATCAAGTAATGAAAATTATTTTAAAGAAAGATTCTTCTTTATAATTGAGTGATGGCTTGTTAGAATTAGCCATACATAGTTTCATTTCTGGAGCTTCATAGGAAAAAGTACCCTGAAAAACATTAAGAGGTTATATATTAATTTTGTTTCTAGAAAAGCTATGCAGGAGTTCCTTTGAGACATAAAATGTCTCTGTAACATAAATGGATGTATAATTTTAATTATGTCCTATAATTATTTTGGCTTTAAGCTCCCACAACTGTAAATTTAGTTGTTATTTTTCCCCCCAAACAACAGATTTTAAAAAGTATAAATGGCATGATGAAAAAGAAACCAACAAATAGTGGCAATTATACAAATATAAATGACTGCTGCTATAAAGAATTATAGCAATTATTACACTAAAACAATATTTTTCTATTTCTAGTAGTTTCTAAGAAGAGAACAGGGGGTTGAATTTCAACTGCAAGTGTTCTTTAAACTTGATTTGTTACTCTAACAAGAAAACAAGTTAATTTAAATCTGATGCTATTTCTCCTTTGTGGTAGAAATATTGACAAGCTGTAGGCTACCCATAAGTTAAGTTAAAAGAAAGTAATGTGAATTTTACACAGTCATCACTCACCTACATGCATATTAAACTAATGTCTTATAACCAAAGTACTAAATAATTATAATAAATTTACCATTTATGCTGCTAGTATTGCTTTACTGATTCAAACATTTTTCATCGTCATGATAATTGTAACACTAAATTATGAAATTTCAAATAATTACCTAAAGTACTCATAGTTACAATACTAAACTTATCCATTTCTAATAATTTGGGACTATGTCAGGGGAAAAGGAAATGAAATGAAAAGTTGAAAAGTGATCATATGTAAAAATGCATCCGCACATGCATAGACATTTCAAGAATGAACCCTATCTTCCCTGGAATTAAAGGGGTTGTTTACTTAAACCCATTATGTCCTATATGTATATACAGTTAATGAAACATTGCATTTAGTCAAATAGGAAAGTAAGTTACATATCAAACAAGGTGCAATAGGAATCTAATTACATTGTTTTTTTCATAAAACAAGCTCCTATGAAGACCATCATAGACTAAAGTAGCAGCTGAAGGAGAGAAAGGTAGATTCTCATCAATGGGGTACCTACAGGGACTTTTCAAATAAAATCTATATACTGAGTTAAGAACCATGTTGGAAGGAAATTTGATGATCTTGCTGAGATAATGACTGTGTATATATACTTTAGAGTGAGAATGTGAAAAAGAAAAGGA